TCAATCTCATTTTATACGTTTCTGTATTATACTTTTACACATCAAAAATTGTACCAAAATATAATCCTTGAATTGCTGATTAATTTGATACAAAAAGCTCAATTTTGAGTCAAGGAGCCCAGAACCGTGTTTTGTTGGTCCAGTCTCCATATTTAATATTTATGAATAATAAATAATGGATTAATAATTTTAAGTATCCTGATCTGTTTTAATTGTTATTGTACTGTGGATGGGTAAATCTGAACCACTTCTCCTGCTGCAGCCTGGACATTCTTTACGAAATAAATAAACATTTTTATATATATATCATCCATCAATTTTATGCCATTACATCATCTTTATTTGTTGATGATACATTTATCTATACTTAGTATTTTCAATGAAATATATTTCACCATTGTTAGCTAATTATAGCATTTATTCTTATATATCCCAAGCAGGATCCTTTTGTAAGACATTGTTTCTTCTGCAAGTGCTTGTTTATACACCCTTGGCAGTGTTGGTTCCCTTGTATTCTTTCATTTTGACAGTCCAACGTCAAGCAACTATCTACCAATGACTCTATCTTTGCACTTGCCCCTGATGCTGATGTAGTTGGTTGGGTTACTGGTGGTGGTTGTGTGCTGTTATTAGCTCCTGATCCTAAATTCAAGTCCACTATCTTTTGTATCACATCATCCACTGGTGTTTTATTGTCATTAGCATTATCTGTTGTCTTTTCAGGATCTTTCTTAGTGGAATCCACTAAACATAGATGAACTCATTAGTTCCTTTAGTTTTATCTCGTGATACTGTTTATACTGACTCTCTAGCTCCTGTATTTTATATTCTGTCTCTTCTTGTTGACTTTTAGATCCCACTCCTCTTTTGGTCTCAAGTGCTAATTTATAACTCTTAAATCCAGCTATTGCTCTTTCAATATCCTTTACTGTTTCCCTTGGTGGTGATATTTCTGGTGAGTCTAAAGCATTTTCTACTGATGTGTCTGGGAAGTATTCCCTTCTTGTTGGTGATGGTGTTTCTTCTCTAATGGTAAGTGTGTATGGTTCTGCCACTTTGTTGTCCTTACTAACTAATATGTACAGATTCTTGACTATAATCTTCAGTAAGAAGTATGAAGACTTGTTTACAAATTATAGTCCTGTTGTTGTCACCAAAATGTGAGCGTGTAATTTCCAGCTACACTACTCAACAATGTGTCCAATAAAATATATAAATACTAAAAATTCCAATAAAATATAAAACTAATACTGTCAACACACGGACTTATGTATATCAACTCTACCCGGAATTTCCTAAATCAATACAATACAAATACTCCTAGGTGCCCCTGTGCTGTTACTCTAGGCCTAATACAAAGATATTTATATCCTCTGGACGATTTCCAGGCAGGTGCCTTCCAAATCATTTTCCCTGTCTTACCTAGCCAGGCACGTTAAAATAAAATGAATAAAAGAATATATACAACTATACTAACAAAGGCATCCCAATGGTAGGATAGTAAATAATTAAAGAGATTGGTTAAACTTGCTAAACTAGCAAGGCTTCACAGTGCAAGTTTATTATTTATTTAAGCAAGATGATTTATGTAAAAGTGTTATGTGTTTTATTAGCTATGATATTTATGTTATTACAAGGTTATTAGATTATTATTATTATGTTATTATTATTATTAGGAAGTAAAGAACATGTCTCTAACTAGGTCAAATAGCATAGTGGAAATTTGAAATGTTACACTAATTTTTTATATTGTGCAACAATACACGGCAAACATTCTGGCAATAAAAAGTAAGTGATAAACTGTATTTGAATTGGATCTGAACTTGATCTCCAATTTAGAGAGGTAACAACTATATACTGGTGAAGTTTCAGAAGCAATGAGTTCTGTATAACGTTTCGTTTAATAACAAACTTCCACTATGCTAGGTCAAATCCAAAGGGTATTTATACCTCTTGGAGTGTTACAAATAACATGACTTTTACAATATTTTATCCAATAATATATGCTAAATTAATTAATAATTATATGTAGTGATGGGCGTAAAAATTATTTTGAAAAATGACAGTTATTAAGTACTTAATAACTCTATTGGTGACTTATTAAGTGTTAAAAACACAAACATGCAGATCTCTTATTGGTATATAGCAAAAATTATTTGAATCATTTGATCAAATATTAATTTGATGAACAAGTTAAATGATTAATTTAGTTTAAGTGATGACTGTGCATAAAATTCAGAGTGTGCATGCTAACCAAATTTGATAATTATTTTTCCCAAATCTGCTGAATTTGGTTAGCACAGCACATTCTGCACACTTAATTCTATATACACCGGGATTGATTGAAAATGGGTCATTTGGATTAATGACTCTTGCTCAGAGTGCAACAGTTAATAAGTGGTTATTAGCTATTAATAACTTGGAGTTATTAAGTGTAGGGTTAAAAATTCCCATCACTAACCACGAACACTTGAATTGCAATAAATACAATTTGCTTGATAATGTGAACTATTTAATTTTTGTCCTTTGGTGAAATAGTTCCAAATTTCACCTTTTCTTCTCCCCTGTTTATTATTATTTAACATTTACTTTTGTAAAGATTGTATTAATAACATGTGGTTAATAACATGTGATTAATAATGTGTGGTTATTAATGTGTGGTTATTAATTAGTTAATTAATAATTGGTTAACAAAATAAGTTAACTAGTTATTAACTGATTATTAAATAGTTATTAATTAGTTATTAACTGATTATTAACCGATTAGTAACTAGTTATTAATAACTTGGAGTTATTAAGTGTAGGGTTAGAAATTCCCATCACCACCTGCAGATCCTCCCATTGGCTGATCTGATAACTACAATTGACACGTGATACCACTACTCTTGCCAGGATACCTCTATTAAAATGTGTCCAAACAATGTTGAGAAGTCTTTCAGAAATCTTAGGATTTGGCAAATAAAGGTTTCGAGAATCAAAATTTTTTGACATAATTAAAAAGAAATATTTCAGGATTTCGAATCTCAATATTAATTTGAAATTCTAATTGATTGAAATCAAATTATTTTCGATTTCGCCATCATGAACATTTATTTATAGATTTATAACGCCCCAACTGGTAGTAACTAAATACACTTGCCGTAAATTATTGGGTCGGTAGCTACCATTGCCGTAAATAGCTGTTGGTAGTTACCATTTGCCGTAAATAGATACGGCTGTCGCAAATAGATGCAATTGCCGCAAATAGCTACGGCTGCCGCAAATAACTACGACTGCTGGAAATAGTTTTCAATTATTGTCATTAGTATTAGTCATATTAGTCATGCGAAAATTTTCTTGAATTATTGTTCTGCAGATTTTATTCATTTACAGTGAATAGTGAAATTATGAAAAACAGAAAATTGCAGCAGTCGTATCTGTTTGTGGCAACCGCATCTATTTGCGGCAGTCGTATCTATTTACGGCAGCTGTATTTTATTTGTGGCAACCGCATCTGTTTGCGGCAGCCGTATTTATTTGCGGCAGCCGTAAATAACCAATTACGGCAGGTGTCTTTAGTGGTGACATAGGTCGTGTACCTTTAAATGCAGAGGGAATTGATTTTTCGCACCAATTTACTTCTGTGAAAAAATTTCAAAAATTTTTTTTTACTGAATAATATATATTTATATATAAAGAAAAAAAAAGAATTTAAATATAATTGAATGAAAAGAAAATAATATAATACAAGAAAAAAAATGCGGAAAAAAATGTAATCAAAAATCATCTTATAATAATAATAGTAATAATAATAATAATAATAATAATAATAGTAATAATAATAATAGTAATAATAATAGTAATAATAATAGTAATAATAATAATA